AGTTCCCCTAACACAAAAATCTAAATATAAAGAAATTAATCGAAATAAATCCTAAATTTTCGGGTTGTAAACAAAAAACAATTAATAAAAAATGATCGGAAATTTATTTTAATTTTTTTTTAACAAATCAATGAAGATTATGAATAAGTATTGCTCGTAAAACGGATTGAACTGTACAATTCTCGGCAAAAATGGAAATAAAGGGAATCGCGTGTGATTGTCCTTCCGGTTGAACGACCTCATCCGAAATTCTCGAATCAAGGGTAGGCATTTTGGGCATTGGATGTACTTTTTTTCTCTCATACGTATCGGTATTGGTATTGAAGAGGTGCGTGTTTGGTGGCTACCGCCGGGAGAGAAGTGATCCGAGTGGTAGTTGTAGGACTGCCGGGACAACCGCGAATATAAGAGGGCCCACAGGAAGAAGGCAGGGGCACATCCGTAACGTGGTCAGAAATCCGTGACCCCCCTACCAATACACTGAGTTTATTCGCTCGGTCCCTATCCCCTTCGATAATCACATGACAATTTTCTATTTAATTTGTTTTTCTTTGTAATTTTTTACTCGAATAATTGAAATAATTTCGGAAAAAAAAGTTTTTTCCCATTTTTTGCCCTTTTAACAGTTGCATTTTTCGCTGAGAAAATGTAAATATCTTCTATAACCATTAGAAAAATAACCCTTTTCGTTAAAAAAAACGTTTTACATAGAAAAAGGCTTCTATAAAAAAATTATTCCTAGGCCGATAAAATTGTAAATTTTTTGCAGCCTGAATGTCATGACTTATAAAGAATTCGATGTTGACAAAATAGTATATTAGGTCATCAGGCGATAAAAGTATTATCTGGCGAATGTGGCATTATAATCCGAGCCGAAGGCTCGGATTATAATCACATTCGCTAGATAATGCTTTTATCGCCGTGTGACATACGATATTTTATGTCGTTGGGCCCGAAAACCGCGATCTAACCGAGCGGACCGCGGTTAGAATCGCGGTTTTTTCGGGCCTAATGACATAAAATGATTTTAATAAATGATGATAATTTTAATTTTTTTAATCATTTTAAAAATTGAATAATTTCTGCAATTTTATTACTTTAAAAATTGCATTTTTCGCTGAAAAAAATGTAAATATCTTCTATAAAACATTCAAAATTGAATCTTGTGATGAATGAGGGAGAAAAAAATCATAAATTCGCAAAAGATGGGGAAGATAACCATTTTCGCTAAAAAAACGTTTTACATAAAAAAATGCTTCCATAAAAAAAAAATTCCTAGGCCAATAAAATTGTTAATTTTTTTCATCCTCAATGTCATGATTTATAAAGAATTAAACGTCGATAAAAAATAATTTTAATAAACAATATTCATTTCACTTTTTTTACAAATTTAAAAAATTGAATCATTTTTGTAATTTTTTCACTTTAAAAAATTGTATTTTTCGCTAGCAAAAATGTAAATATTTTCTATAAAACCTTCAAAATTGATTGTTGCGATGAATGGGGGAAGAAAAAATCATGAACATCTTTTTCGTAAGGATTCACAAAATATGAGAAAAAAAACTATTTTCATTACAAAATTAAGTTTTACAAAAAAAATGCTTCTATAAAAAAATTATTCCTAGACCAAAAAAAAATGCATTTTTTTTCATTCTGAATTTCATAACTTATAAACAATTGAATGTTGATAAAAATAAATTTTAATGAATAGTAAATATTTCTATATTTTAATCATTTTAACAATTTTTTTACTTTAAAAAATTGCATTTTTTGCTGTGCTGAATACAGCAGAAAAAAATCATGAGCATCTTTTCCGAAAGAATTCAAAAAACATTAGAAAGAAAACCATTTTCGTTACGAAAAAAAGTTTTTCATAAAAAAATGCTTCCATAAAAAAATAATTCCTAGACAAAAAAAATTGCCATTTTTTTCATCCTGAGTATCAGAGGAAAATGTTTTAATCCTCTCCCGAAAAAAAAATCCTCCAATCAATTATCAAACCCCCACATTTTCACACTGAATTTCTAAAAAATGAAAAATTAAAATAGAAAAATGGATTTTAATTCGCTCATAAATCCTCTGCATATTCCACGACTCCTGATGGATTTCGGATTTATCAATTTATTTTCACATCTCACGGTTCGTTTGCACTTCTCGCTCACGAATAACTACACCATCAAGGGGGTATTGGAGTACTAAACTCCCGGAAAATGTGGGAGGGTGGCAAATTGCCTGTGTAAATGGTCGAAAAGGGTGACTCGAACATCCACGTGCCCTGCACCAGTAACCCTCTAGCCTTTCTCTCACAAATCCAACCCACCTATATTGCATTAATCACCAATGACGCACATTTTTATCCAACAAAATGAAAATGCAATAAAAAAAATAGAATTTGGGTTGAGGTGATAACCCCATTTGGGATGAATTTCAACCGACAAATTTCATTCAGCTTCTCTCAATGAAATCCAATTATCTCTTGTTACAAAAATCCATTACAATAACTCAATTTTTCGTGGGGAAAATTCAAAAATTTATCGAATTATTTTCATGGAGCCAGCCACGAGTGGAAGAATAATCTCATCTGTCGGAATTTACAATAAAATCAACTTGAATTCATCGTGATCACCGTCAATATTTTATGGTTCAGAATATTCTAATGTAAGTTTTCACTCGTGGAATTATTTTTCAAAATATTCATTAATAAAGTAAATAAAAACAAGTGGGAAATTGCTTTTATATTAATGTAATATAGTTTTTTCTGTTAATAAATTAATAATATACTTCCGAATGCTCATTTTGCATATCATCTGGTTTAATAGTGCATAATTCATCGTTTCATATCATTTTATTAAATTCAATGATATGTCTTCTTTAATCAATTGTTATAAGGTTATATTTTTATTTTATTTTAATATTTGATGAAATTTCAAAAATGAAATAATATGTATCTGTGCGATCCATTTATTTAATGAAAGTGAAGTCGAAGTCGTTTTAATGATAATCAAATCAATGTCAACCTTTATTTTTTTAAGGAAAATAATCAGTGGAAGTTAATTTTCCAAAAGATGGAGAATTAATAAAATTTTGAATGCTATGAGAATAATTTCCGAATTCTTTGATAAATCGAATGGAAGAATAATGCCATCTATATTATGGAATGAATTTGAAATATCATATTTGAAGAAACCATAAAAAAATTCACGTTCAGAGCAATTTACGAACAATTCTAAATTTACAAAAATCATCATAAAAATCAAACCAACGAATATACTCGTAACGAGCTTTCAACTTCGACAGAGTGGCTTTTAAACTAATACTTTCAGCTATCATTGAATGAGTTCAGAGCATAATATCCAAAGATATCCTCGGAATTGTAATTTCTATGAAATGCAATATTTTTGAAAATCATTCTAAAAATCAAAACAACGATTACAGCTATTGCCTTTATCTTCGAGCTCGGTTGAAGAGACATCCAAAGACTTTTTTTAAGCCATCACTCAATTAATTCAGAACATTTTTTTTGAGTTATGGTGTGACAACCGATTTTTTTAAATTCTAAAACTCAAAAATATAATATATGCATTGAATTTTAATTAATTTCGATGAATCGGGCTCAACAAAACCTATATTTCAAATAAAAATCATTCAATTCCATAGATTTATTTAGCGAATAATTAAAGAAACATGGGTTGATATAACGCAAAAAATTCGAAACTTGAATTTGAACGAATTCACTGCTGCCCTTCGGGAGCAAAAATAATAATAAAATGAAACGTTGAACAGTTTCCATCATTTATTTATGAATGATAAGATCTTGATGAAAATAATAATTTGCTGCGAAGTCTAATCTGGATAATGCCGATCATGAACGCATTTTATTCTAAATTTACCTTCACAATTCAATTGGAACGTGCACTGAGAGAAAAACATCAGAGTTCTCAAACAAGCCTTAGTTGCCAAAAAAATCATTTGTTAAACATGATCAAAAAGGATTTTTCGGGCCAAAAATGTAAAGCGTGCGCCGAGATTGCAAATTTTTGTTGCAAAAATAGATTTAGCCGTTTCAAAAAAATTTAATTTTCTGTGCAACCAAGAAATGTCATTTCTCTCCCATAGATATTTTGCTCCCGGCAAATGCTCGTTTTATATGAAACGAGGGACAGCAGTTTATCGTTTCGGCAATTCAGAGATCCCAGACAAAAAATTAATTCTTAAATGAAATAATAATAATGACATCACAGCAATCTTGCAAATTAGGAACAAAATATTTCTTGATAAAATTCCCTCTATAAAAGACATTTTTATCCTGAAAAGGCACCGTCTTGTATGAATGATCCGCCCCTTGAACCAAATACTTCATTGTTGCTGAGAGCAGAGCAATTATTTATGTTTGAGGCTTTTAAATTCGAACCAAACAATTATTTTTGGTAATTTCAACTAATGATTTTGTCGGCCCAAACAAAATTTGCTTGACAACTTGTTCGCTTTTCTCTCAGTGTGGATTACTCTAGACCTTCCGCACGAGAAATAAAAAAAATATACACTGTTAGAAAATTACTCTTGAATTTCAAGTGAAAAAGCTTGAAATTTTTAACGACAAAGTTCCATGAAATTTCTGTAGAATTCTTCATTGACGAATCACTTAATTTCTTGAGTATTCAAGTAATTCTCAATTTTCAGGTCCATACGGTACGGAAAAACCTTGAAAATGTTGAAAATTCAGGCAATAACTTCTCTGAATTATCAATCTATTGAAAATTGAATTGTAGTGATGTTCAAATTTCACGATGAGTTTGAAAATTCAAGTTTTCCTTGAAAAATCAATGATCGTTCAACACGAAAAACCAAATTTTCTTGAATTTTCAAGATGAATGAGAAATTTAGTGAACGTTTTAATTCCCAATAAAATTCAAACTCACAACATTGAAAATTCAGATGACACGGTGACTGAAATTCCAAGAAATTTCCAACAGTGTACAAATAAAAAACCTAATTTTTACCTGTACTGGATCAGTTTTGGTATTAGCAGCCACCCATGCCTCGGCAAAAGTCTCCATAGCGCTTTGAAAATCCATTCCACGTGCGTCTAAACAGTCTCAGCACGTTCCCTCAACAAGACACCCACTTTTCTCACCCCCAAAAGATCCCAAACAAACCCCCCCCACCCCAGTGCCGCTAAAATTCCCATGAACATTCACCCATTCCCATTCCCATCGTTTCCTGCCTCCCAAAAATTCACAAAAATTCTTTTCTCCAGCGTAATAATCACAATAAAATAATCACAACAATAATCCCATTGGGCAAATTCTACATCTCAAAAATCTCCAGCCCTCAGCACAGCGAATAAAAGTTGACAAGGGGTTAACGTGAGGGGGTTTAAGAGAATTCGAATGAATTATCCCATTCACACAGCACTCATTGTTCAGCTTCGAACTTTTATTATTTGAATGAGTCAAACCGTCAGATCCTTCAAGTGATTCTCATTAACTTCACTTTAAAAAACTAAATAAACTTGTGCCCCCACAGAACATAATTGTACATAATAAAAACAGAACAGAGCCAGAGGTGAAGGCCCTTTGCTTTTGTATTTTATCTCCTCAGAAAACAATTTAAAAAAAGTGCATATACGTTTGTAATTCGTTGAATTGCACGCGCGTGAGAAAAAAAAATCGAGAGAACTACCAACTCGAGCGACAATTACGTGCGTTCTCGAGCACTGCGGCGCTCGTTCTGCCGGCCCCCACTGTATATTTCAAAATGCTCCAGACTCCTCGTGTACTGTGTCTACTCTCGCGCGCGCAACTACCCGAACCAAGCCCCACCACCGGCCGTTTGACTTTTCCATCTCACTCTCGTCGCTTTTACAAGTTGTGGACCAACTCGCACGGGGGAATTCTGACGATTCAACCCTCTCGGGGTTTTCGTTTCCTTGAGCGTCGCGCGCACCGCCACTGGATTCGAGAATCTCATCCCGCCCCATCTGCATTTTTTTCTCGATTATGTTTTTTTTTTCGTTCAGTGGCTTCCGGGGATGGGGAAGATGGGATTGGGGAAGGTGAGGGGGTAATTGGTTGGAGTCCTTTATTTTGGATTTTGGATTCGGAGGGGGTTGCGGCGCGATTTGGAGCGGTGGCGATTTCTTGGGACGCGCCGTGTTTTGAGGAGGAGATAACGGAGGGGACTATCGGACCGTGGGTTTTGTCTTCCTGTTGGATGGCCTGAGTGATAATTCGAGTGTCGATGATTCATGAGAATTTTGCGGGTTCGATGTGGGACGGGTTTTCGAGGAGGTAATTCAGGGTTGAGTGCAATTTTTCGGGGGTTTCTCATGTATTCTGTCAGGTTTTGGGGTTTTAGGATTACATTAAGTCGCTGATTGATGCTGTGGCCAAAAAACGGAGCCTAGGCGCAGCCTAGTCAGCGCCTAGTCAGCGCCTAGTCAGAGCCTAGCTAGCGCCTAGTCGGAGGTAGGTTTTAGCCAATGAGTTTGGACTGCCTTAATTCTTCTGCGAAATATCCGAGACGGATTCCACGCAGCAATAATTCTGATTTTGTACAAATGGGAACTTAAGAATATCTAAATATTCTTAAGACCACACTATTGATTCAACAAATTTGTCAATTGAATTGCGTGAGGAAAAATTAAAAAAACCTGAATATTCGGCGTGATTCAAGTTCCATTTTCCACTGCATTATAATTTTTTTAATATTCGTAATCATAAATAAATCATTGAAATTGTGTAAACTTTCGAAAATCTCATTTTTTAGGTGTTCAATCTACTTCTGGTAAAATTCTGAATGGGAATAAATTTGTTACGATTCCGAACAAGTGATTTTTATGGTGGAAAATTGATTGTTTATAAATTATTTATAAAAATGTTCGTAATTTACCAAAAATTGCAATTTTTTAATTATTTCGTCAATCTTTCTCCAAAAGTAAACGTTTCGATTTTTTTCAGCACTTGAAAATGTTTTCTAATGATCCAATATCGAGAGACAAATTCAGATCTGTAAAGTTTGAATCATAAAATCATTGTAAAATATTTATAGACAAAAATAGAAAAGCATTTCACTGGAGAAAATAGCGAAAGTAGTTGAATATCCCTAAGTTCATCGGTAATATTCAAAATCATTGCTCATTTTCATTAAAAATCTCAAATGTTAGATTTCTAATATAAATCAAAATTCTAATCTAGTTTACTCAATCAGGTTGAGCAAGAAATGCTCCACTTTCTCTTCCGAACTCGTCATAATTACCCGCACGCAGTGCTCATCTCGTACAGTCCCAAATTGGAATGTCAAATCATCAAATTTGTCAATTAAATTGTGTTGAAAAAATTTGAAAAAAATGGTAAATATTCAACGCCAGTCAAATTATATTTTACAAAGAATTATCATTGTTCTAACGTTTGTTGCTGATAAATGAATAATGAAAATGATTTAACCTTTCGAAAGCCTAATTTTTTTAGCCATGAAATCGATTTCTAGTAGAATTCTGAATATGAATAAATTTGTTGCGATTCTAAACAAATGATTTTTATGGTGGGAAATCAATTGTAATTTTTTAATTATTTCATCAAACTAGTTTCTTCAACACTAAACTTTGTATTTTTTTCAGATTTTTAAAATGTTTTCCAACAGTTTAATATCGAGGATCCGACCTACAAATTTTAAGTAATAAAATCATTGTAAAATATCCGGAAACTCAGGGTCAAATAGGGCTCAAATGAAAGCTCATATGTTCGATTCCAAAAGTAAGAAAGCACTTCATCATCAGAGAAAAAATAGCCAAAATACTTGGAGATCCTCAAACCCATTCCTAACCTTCAAAATCACACAGCAAAAACGAATGTCTGAATTTCAAACATGAATTAAAATGTCTAGGCACCTGTTCGTCTGACATTCAAACAAATTTTCCTTTCTTTCAGATGTTTTTTAGTATCTGAAAAATATCTACAAAAAGTGTGCGAAATTCAGATTTTCGTTTTTGCTGGGCAATGTCTATTTCCATTTAAACTGTCAAAAGCTGAATTTTTAATAGAAATCAAAATTGTAATCTAAATTTCTCAATCAGCACGGCTACTTCGACATCCTTAAATCGAATTCAAATTCCTCTTTTCCACAATTCACTCAAAAAAATTTAACACCATGCAGTTCTAACCCAAACCTAAATTCAAATCTAAACCTCCCGATCAACGTGAAAGAGCAACTAACTCCCTCCTCTGCCCTCGCCGTGACTTCCCCTCCCCCCCCTCGCCCTTGCTGCAATACCCTCCGACCCTCCCAACTAAGGTGCATCAGTAGAGGAGTAGATACGAACTATCCCCGTCCGTATAACCCCTTATCTCCTCTCCCTCCTCCCGCGGCTGTAAGCTCCCGCCGCCCCTCACCGCCCCCCCCCCCCCCCCC